TAAAACTTTTTAGACTAGTGGTGTTTCGAATTATCATTATATGTTAATCTGCAATGGAAGTAGTAATAAAGAGTTGCAATTTCCTACATTTATTTGAACCCTCAAAGTTTATTCATAATTTTTTTAATTTTTTTTCTATTTTTTATAAAAACATGTAAAAAAAACTTTAACCACTCCCACCGGCGTTGGGTGTGGTCGGAGAGCATAGATGATAAGGACTAAAGTGGAAGCCCTTGGAATTACCTTTCGAATGATACCACTTTTGAGGGGGGTAAAGAGGACAAATTTGTTATCAGTACGACCTGTGACCTTGACGGTCGTGACCTGGGACTTTTAACCAACATTTTCTGGTAAGTTGGTATTTTATACACATTTTAAGACAAACTTGAAAAAACGAACACTTATGATTGCTCCCACATGTACTTTGAGTCATGTAATCCATGCATGCCCCTTTTTGCTATGACATTGGGGTATTGCCAAATAACATTGTGGTCGAGTCCCAGCGCACCCCTGACCTGAGTACTAATCCTAAGCCTAACCTACCCCAAATCCATCTAGGCGGACAAATAGGCTCGTTATTCCTTAGAAAGAGGGCACTTGCTAGCAGAGTGAGGCCTATGACGGCCCAAACCTCCGGTTGAAATGTGGCGACCCAATCGCTAAATCGGATTTGAGAGTGTGCCCCATACTCGCAGTAGATCAAGTGGTGCCCGAATCTTTTATAGTTGATGACAAGGCTCGAGTTTTCTTGTGTTACGAGGTCCGACCACACGTTGAAGATTAAGTTTCCGTATCGATGATGATAAACCGCGCCCAAATCGGATGAATAAACGGTGGAGAAATTGAGTTTGAGTTGTAATATGGGCACGAGATAGTTGAAGTAGCTGAAATGTTTAAAGTAAAGATTTTGGAGATGTCTTGAAACTAAATGTACAGAACTTTTAACGTTCTACTGTAGACTGTTTTTTAATTTCATTTTTTCTGCCTTGTTTGTATTCAAATGGCGATTTTGAAATTTGTTAAATTATGCGGGTTTTTTCATAAAATTAAAATTTAATTAAAAAAATGTACAAAGGAGGTTAGAATTGTGATTTTTTTTATCAGAAAATGTATCATTCTTCCTGATTATTTCGATGTGCGTAGTTTACTTCTATTCTATATTGAGGAAAAAATCAAAATTTTATCGTGATAGCTTTTCAAACCTAAAAATTAGTGTATTTTTTTTAAAAAAAACGGTAAAGACCAGGTTCAAAAATCGCCATTTCAGAATATGCAAGTTGAAACACAGCATTCAAATTTACCCGCACTGAAGATACCAGATCCTCATCGGTCTTCCTGCACATATATAACTCAGTTGCAATTCTGTCCGAACACGGTTTGAATATAGCGCCATTTGATGAGTGGTCCATTTATGTATAAAATCCGAATCTGACCGTGAAATATCCATAGTTTGCACTGAAATAAACTTATTGGAGCACAAGAAACAGACGTAATAAAGCGAAACATCTGTTTTCACCGATATCGGTACCACCAAAATATAAACTTTCAACTGTGTCCTTTCACCCCAGAGGAAATCTAAGAAGGTAAGTACAGAGCTGAAATTTTCTTCAAAGATTAATACAACCCTTAAGGACTTTTCCAATTCTTGAGTTATGGAGGCTAGAGAAGTTTGAATAAGTTGATGTATTAAGTCGCCACCCAGAAATGGGTGGAACGAGATAGAGCAAAATTTTTGGTATCGTAAGGTTATCGGAGTTGGATTAAGGTGATTGCTTATTGGCGGATAGGATGTTATCTGCCATGTAGCTTCTGATATGGTAAGAAGTAATCCAGTTATAATATTTGTGACGTCGTAGCGCGAGGAATTTTCTTGAAGGTAGATTTTGTTTAAACAGCGGTGTGGAAAGCAGACGTCTAAATTAGGGAGGTTTTGCTTTGCAAGTAGTTTGGGCTGTGTGTACGATAGAGAAATTTGATATAGAGTTAAGCAAAGAGAGAAGCAGCAGGCCGTCTCAAAAACAGCACGTCGTAATTTACTCGATTTTTTGATGGTTTAAAAAAACAAGTGGATGCATTATTTACAACCTTTCTTGAATTATTAACGACTTTTTCAAATATCTAAATTTCGAGTAAATTAATAAAATTTCGCTTTGTTTACAAAATTACGAATCAAATAGTATGCATAACGGATTCATTTTAAAATTCCTAATTATCTACATAATTCCGATTTAGTTTCAATTTATTTGTCGAATCCGTTATATCATAAAAATTGATATCAGCTAGATTAGTTTAATTCGAGCTCGCTCAAGCGGTACCTTCCTATATTTTTACTCGAATTTGTCACGAGGGTATCTAAATTCAAGGCAATGGCCAAATATTATTTCATAGGACTTACGACTTATTAACAACGTCTGGAGTTGCTAACAAAATTTTGAATTGCACAATACGTTAATAACGTTTAATAAATTCCATATTTCGATCGTGTACTAATTAATACGCGAAATGCAATTATTTTTCAAAATCCTGCAAATTGGAAAATTGGGTTTAAAATTCGAGGCAGTGGCCAAATTCTGGTCCAAAATAATGTTTTAAATTATTTCCACCTATATTTGGCCGAATTTGAGTGAAAATTCAAATTTCTCAAAATTCGCAAAAAATTCACACATATGGGCTTTTATCTAACCGTTGGAAAACTGTTGGTGCGCCACCCCAATTTTATTACGGATTCTTAATGTACACAAAATTACGCAAATTTTAAGCCATCAAACTTGAAAATCGTTGGGAGATGAAAAATCGACAATTAGATGGTATATATAGGTACTAATAACTCTGTAAAATGATTTACAACCCGTAGGTTTTTTCAAAATGTTTCAGTACAAAAGGTAAAAAAAATTGATAGATTCTATGGTTGGTGGATCCTACCCCCTAAATTGTGGAAATTAATCCTCATTGATATTTGCCATCAGATAATTAAGTTTTTATCCCTCAAATATACAACCTTTCGAACTCTCAGAAATTCAGCAGTAAAAAATGGGTGATATTGCAATATCACCCATTTTTAACCATAGCGGCACCATACCATGGTATGGTGCCGCTTCTCTCTTTGCTTATTTAGTTCCGTACCGTTGTGAACAAAGCTAGTAATAGAATAAAATCAGGTGCCATTCAATGACTCCAAATTTTAACACTTTTTACAAACATTGCAAATATGTCGTGCGTATGTGGATACAACATTTTAGCGAATGACGGACCAAATTGGTACGTGCAGTTTCAAACAAGATCCTTGCAAATTTTACTAAACAAACACCCCAGTAAACTTAAGAGCTATTTCGATTTTGAAGTACAATTCAAATTGCCCCATAAACAATTTATTTCTTAACCCAACACTTTTCTCTATTGTACAAAAAAGTTTGTTCTTTTGTAACAAGTCTATTGTACGACACACGCCCTTAAAAATAATATTAAGTGTCCATTTTGATTATAAATGCGCACTAAATTTGATATTAAGTAAGTTACTCTGGATTTTGTATGTCTAACCCATGTATTTGCTTACCACATAATTAAGACTGGATTTACTTTGCAAAAGATAACACTATTTTGAACAGTAATGCATATTTATGCATGCAAATATGTACATACACCAACTTCAATTTGCAAAATATTCTGCAAGAACACTTTTGCATGGGCTCTTCTGAACAATACAATGAAACTGTTGAGTTTATAGTTTCTGTTTTTGTTATAACCGAATGTGAAAGTTTGCTGGATGACAATGTGAATGTTATTCAAACATTGAAATGCATATATTCATCGACTATGGGAACGCAAACCATGTTCAACCTGGGGTATTTTCTCACAACCTTGTTTTGAAAGACCAACTATTTAGCAACCAAATTTAGTGCGAAATTTGTCCCAATGCGAAAATTTTAGCACATTATGGGTGCCGCCAAGTCGTGAAAACTCAGAGCTGCTGCAGCAAGGCACAGATTCCGCTGGAAAACCGAGCTTTTTTGAGACCCATAAACTCCTGAATTTTGCGGATCTACGAAAATTCTTCACTAAATGTGGTTTCTAAAGGGTTGGTCTTTCAAAACAAGGTTGTGAAAGAATAATCCGGGTTGAACATGGTTTGCGTCCCCTTTGTTAGCGATGAATGAGTTGAACGACTGACTGAAGTGAATTGAACGCGTTTGCATTTTGTATGAAAATGTACTCGAGACGGTGCACAATTTTATTGTTGTGCGCATTAAAACCGAATCAACAAATGTGTTTAGCACCAAATTTGCCATCTTATTCTAAATATGCGCATGTTTATTTATTGGTGCATCTACATATACACTTCAGCATTCGTCTGAGTACTGCATAACTCAGAAAGCTATTGTTCGTAATGAAAGTAACGAAAAGTATTATCGAGACTCTTTTTACACACATTTATTTATCAGTTTTGTTTAGGGCATGATTACATAAATAGATAAGATGCAAGAGACCCGATCCGAACGGGACCTGAATAAATTCTGAAATCTGACAATGAGTGATATGAATTTAATTTGCTTTCACGTGTTAAATACTTGACTAGACGTATGCAGGTAACGAGACATGTAGATCTCGACTTATATGTATCTCCTAGTTTTATGAGCTAGTAATCAATAAAGAAATACTCATGGTGAACAACATTTCCATGTCATTTCGTTCACATCAACCTTAATAACTACTTGTGTATCTAATTAAAGCTCTTTTTCTGCACGAAGTTTAATAATATGCATACATTACATGGTATGTAAATTATACAAGACATATGCAAATCGCATCATGAATAAATAGCTGATATTGTGGTCAGAATATGTTCATTCAAGTGAGGAATGAATACATTTACTTATGTCACGTTTGAGTAACCTTGATTTTGACCTGAATAAGAGAACCAGAGTCACATGAATGAAAAATTACTTATAAATCGTGTACCATATGGACTATGATTATGTTCCCATAAATGCTTAAATTGAGTTAATCTCATTCAAAGTCTGTCCTCGAACTTGACTTCATCTGGCTGATGAAATAGTTTGTTGGAACTTGAGAAAGAAATAATAATTAGGATGGGATCAAATCGTAAACCTGGTAAATTTAGGGAACTCGGGGATGAGGAATTACCCCGATTGGAGTCCGCTTTGGTGAAACATTTACCAAAATCTAGCCAGGTAATAAATTTATTTTAGTGAAGCAAAATTTTTAAATTAATTGCATGTACGCTCTAGATAATTTAGTAACAAATCGTCACCCGCATAGGTACTAAAAATAGGGCCCTGTTTTTGGGTGGTAATTAAGGACAGAGTTTGTCACAAAAGGGAAATAAGCACATATTTCTGACTTTATTTTTTTAATTGAACATTTTTATCCGAATGCTAGATTTTTTACAACTAAATTTAAACTTTTTTAAAAATAATGACGTGTGTTTCATACACCAGTTTTGGACTTAATAATTTCGCGTCGGTGACAAAACGTGTCCTTGAACATTATCAAAAAATTGAGCAGATGACCTTCACGGATGACGAATTTCTCCAAATTATTTAGAGTGTCTATATTTTTTTATTCACCAGGTTCTGAACATTGTGAGACAAAAAATCCTCCAACTTATCAAAGAACCAACGATATCGGACGTGTTTCTCTACGAAGATGACGAAGCTCAAGATTTTGATAAGTGGGGCGATCCTTTTGTCGTTTGCATCCAAAAAAATGTAACTTCCGGAATTATTTATTAAAAGTGTGATAATCTTTTCCGAAAATAGTTAATATTTTCCGTCGTACATTTTAGATCCATAGTGAATACTGTATCCTATTGCGTCAGCCTGAGTTAATCCCCATCAATTCTGGAATAATGCAAGCTTTTGAAGAGTTAATAGAGTGGGATCGTACCCACATTTTTGGATCAATTCCGCAAGCTTTTCTGGACTCTTATTTGCGAGAAATATTGGAAAAGAAGGGCATCAAGTATAAAGACAATCCGTGCGATGCGCACGTCTTGGATGTGGACACGGCATTAAAATATGATAAGGGTTTGTTAAATGCTCCCTCCATTCAATGAACAAGTGCGAGGTGGTTATCTCGGAATTTGACCTCTCAAATTATAAATTGTTCATGTATAAAAATAAGATTTCTAGAATGTTGGCGTGCTCTCAGCTGTGGAAGAATTTTAATATAAATTTTTAGCTTAAGTCAGAATTTTTCGAGACGTTTTTACTTTAAATACATTTATTTTAAAGAATTTAAGAGTTTTAAAAATTAAGGAATAGTGTTAAAATTTCAAATATTAGAAGTTGTTAAAATTGCATTTCAGGGAGGTACTTTTGAGCAAATAATTTTAAAAAATTTTGAAATTGTGTAAAAAGTCAAAAAGTAGCTAGGTTTTGATAAAATCTTAATTTTGTATGGAAAGGAACGATCCATAAATCATGTCACGCAAAAATCGTGATTTCTAGATCCTCCTTCCCCCTTTAACATGTGTCACATAGCACGATATAATTAGAGCCTCAGACCCCTCCTCCCCCTCTCGCGTGACATAATTTATGGACCTTCCCAACAAATTTCACCATGGGCGATGATAAATTCTGGAAAACGCAAAACTATGGGCGGGTTTACTTCTGTACGTGAACAATTTAAAATCAGTCCAGTGAAAATCCGAGATAACCACCTCAAATCTCTTCATTGTAAGTATTCTTGTTTGAAAATCCGCAACAATAATTTAATTCCAGAATATACGTATCAAGACAGCCACAAAGATGAAATTACAATGAGCGTCTCCGCTATCCGACAAATTAACGCTGATGTTGACCAAATTTTGGAAAATTACGACTGGGCACTCCCCCATTCAAAGGGTCATTTGTTCGCAACTATTCACAATCTGGGATCCACGGGGGTATACACGGTCACTCCAAATGGCGATCCTGACCTTGCCAGTTATGCCGTTCACTCCCCGGTCGGACTGCTTCAAATTCTGCACACGGAGGACGCCTTTCGTCGCCGTGGATTGGGGATCGTCGTCATGAAGGCTTTGTCGCGAAAAGTGGCGGAACTGGGGCTAATTCCGAGGGCAGAGTGCATGGTGTACAACGACGCCTCCCGCCAGGTCCAGCTCAAAGCGGGGATGGTTTTTGTGGACAAGATCAACTGGATACTGTGCCGGCAGGAGTATGATGTTAAAAAGTGGAAGAAAATGAACTCCAAGTAAGTATGGCGGAACAAATAGACCGATAGAACCTAAAAATTCAAAATTTGAATAGTTTGTGGCATATGTATCGTGAAAATTAGTGGAATAAATATTGGGAATTATAAACTTTCGTATTCATTATTTAATTCGAGTCCAGCATTAAAATGCCATAAAGTTACTAAAATTCGTAACCGTAATCTTAGAAGTTAAGCAATCATCCGCTTTCCATAATGTTCATCGTAATCCGGACCAAGGAGTGTTTGGCAATTAAAAAAAGTGATTTTTTCACGCGCCGGTAAAGATATCGAAGCTATAAATTGACCGTGAGGTATAAACAGTGCCCAAACTAGCCAGGCCCGGCCCTGGGGATTTTTCCCGGCCCGGCCTCATGTTTTCTTAATAAATTAGGTTAATTCTAGCAAAGCGTGACAAGACACTCACGTGACACTCTAACAGGACTTTTACGTGTAAAACTCAGCTTTGCATGATACAAATTTTATTTTCTTCACCAAAAAATATGCATACCCATATTTTTGCATTTGCATAGCGCGCGAATTTAAGCGCTAGGCGCGAATTTGAAACTGTTTTCCAGCCAAAAACCTTGGATTTTAAAAATTCTATAAATTGTTGAGATTCAGCGAAAATTAAAAAATTCATGTTTCTTCAAAATGACTTACTTGACGAATTAAAAACCATAATAGCACGAAATTTGAATTTCAAAATTGTTTGCCTTTTTGAAATCTGTGAAAATAAAAAATTCCTGGAAATTTTCAAATTTCCAAAATATGTTGCAAGTGGATTTTTAGTAAGTAATTTTGATAAGTAATTTTGGTAAGTAATTTTGGTAAGTAATTTTGAAGAAACATGTTTTCGATTTTCGCTTAAATTAAAAAATACCCAATTTTTAAGACCCTTGGTTTTGGCTGGAAAGCAGTTTAAAATTCGCGCCTGGCGCTCAATTTAGCTCATTATGAAAAATACGGGTATGCTTATTTTTTGTGGTGGACTAAATAAAATTGATCCCATGCAAATCTGAGTTTTACACGCAAAAGAGTTTAATTGTAAGTATGTACCGAAACTACAAAACCCGCAGCGGTAAAATTGGAGGCCGCTCTTTACTTGCTGGCCAAAGGCAAATAGGGTTTACCGTAGTTCGTCTATTAAAGCCGTTTTTTGCAGGCCAGGCACAGAATTAATCTTTACTGAGAACGATTCATTAACTTTTGAACGACTTCAATCTTAAGTAACTCCGAAACGGGTCGGAGTTTCGGTTCCAAATTTTGAACATATTGACACCTGTCCATTGACGTGGAGTGAGCAAAAAATCAGCTCCCTAGTTTCAAAAATGGCCCCCCGACTGACCCCATAGCAAGAGGGTGTCATAAAAACACTTTCCAAACTTAATTATTCGTATACAGCTATAATCAAGTACTTCAAAAATCAAGGACGACAAGTTTCGAAAGGGACAAGACATAATGTACTGAAAAATAAAGGTCATGGACGAGAAGCTCGTAGTCAGGACGATTGCCATCACCTCAAAGACGATGCAAAAAAGTGCTAACGCGGACTGTGCTTAAAAAAATTGACCTACTGACCTCCAAGGACAATCCACTTCCCCAAAGAGAATTGTCACGTAGAGTCACAGTGTCACAGGCTAGTGTGCATCGAGAAATTAAAATTTTAGGGAAGAAAAAACGAAGAAAAATACGAGTTCATCAGCTGACAAAGAAACATAAAAAAAATCGTCGCCGGACCTGCAAAAACTTTTATGTTAATTATCTGACAAATATAAATAGTGAGTATTTAGTGTCATTGGACGAAACACTATTTTCTCTACAAGACACCAATGGTCAACGTAAAGTGTACTACACTATTAACGCCGAAAAAAAGTCCCAGAGGTTGGCCATTCCGCACGCAGAGAACTTTTGTAAGAAGTTCATGGTGGTTGGTGCATTATCTGGTCGTGGGACCCTCCCACTTATCAAAGTTCCTCAAAAAGTGAAGGTCACTGCTAAGTATTGACTTCGCATTAAAACCACTTCTGGAGATCCACGTTCCAAAACTGTACGGTAAGGACACAAAGAACGTGATAGTTCATCATGACGCCGCGTCCTCGCATACCGCACGTTTGACTCAAGACTACGCCAAGGATTTGAAAGTAAGACTCGGGATTACAATTATTCAGAATAGGGAAATACATACTAAATCCCCCGATGTAAGTCCTATGGATTTTTTTAGCTTCGGATATCTAAAAAGAAAATATTTCTTCGACGCCCTCGAACTTTTTTGGGAGTTTGGAAAGTTGTACAAGACAAGTGGTGCAAAGTTGACGTCGTCTTGGTCAAATCAGTGTACAATAGTTGGAATCGCCGATGGGGCCTTGTCGACCGAGAAAAGGGCTCTCACATAGAACATGTCAGAGACCTGTACTCCAAGCCGTTCAAGACTTATTAAAGGTTTGAACTCGTTCAAAAGTTAATGAATCTTTCTCAGTAATAGATCCAGGAAAAGCCCAGCGCAAAGTTTAGAAAAATCCCGGGTTTTAATTTATAGTTAACCATACATGCGGTTTATTGCGTATTTGTGGAATAATAATTTCTTTAAATTGCAACTATTTCAAATGCAATTCCGACTAGTAACGCCATGACGCCAGCAGGGTTCGGAAACCCCCAGGGTTTTTCCTAGAAAAACCCAGGGGTTTTGTGAGTTTCCGTAGATTTTAGGGCAAATTAAGACAACTTCTTAAAATTACATATTGGGTAATACTAATTCAATATTTGAATGCAGAATTAAATTTTAAGAATTTTTATATCGTCGCCGTAGATCCATAATGTACCAGGTTGAAAACCAGATGGAACAATAAATTGGACGAATTAATGGACCAGTAATTGGACGAAAACTAGTTGCAACCATAAAGTACTAAGACTGCTTTCGGGTGTACTGCGATTTTAATTGTTAATAACTGGTCTGCTAATTCGCACAAAGTAGCTTTGGCAAAGTTTTAATCGACCAAATACTTTAGGAGATATTCAAGTTCAAACTTGGTGAAAACATGGAAGAATTGGCTTTCACACTCTCCAAAAATCCTTAGAACCTGTCAAGTAAGGTTGCCGCGGGTAACGGGCCGGGTACCCGTTACCCGCATACCCGCACGATATTGCGGGTACCCGTTTGTCTGCGGGTAGTTACTACTAACCGCACGGGTAACGGGTATTTCGATTTTACATAATTAAATAGCTCGCCTTATACAGCCAGTGAGCAGTTGATTTATATAAGAGTTATATATCAACTTTGACATTTTATTTTGCATCATTGATGCAGAATTTAATTATTTTTGATAGTGTGCGTAATTTTTCGGAAATTCTACGATAGTCTCAGTGCAATACTAACAATGAGCTGGTGTGAATTGCAACATTCAGATTTGAAATGAGGTTCAAGTCAATACAACCAACGTGTTTATTGAGGCAGTTTGTGCGATCGTAAGAATTTATCAAACATTTTCCAATCAAATTTGAAAAGGGAGTGATTTTTAACAAGTGGGGAAAATCCACTTCGTTACCAATAAAAATCGGTATTTTTCCAATTTTGATCCCAAATATTTTGACAAATTCCAAACATCGCTCAAACTGTAGTGCATTCACTTGAACTACACAATTGCAAAATTTAAACAAAATCGGAATGTTGCACTTCACGCTATCCCATTATAAATTCCGAAAACCGGAAGAAATTATTGTTTCTGAAGCATAACTTACTTGCTTTAAGATTTCAGTAATTTTCTAGTAGTGTGGGATTGGTGATCTTTAAACTTGTTTTTGTAGGAGTAAAAAAATATGATACGATTTGAAGCAAAAATTGAAGTTCCATGCCAATGTTATTAAATAAAAATGTCATTTAAATGTCAACAATCAAGTCTCACTGCTTTCTGGGCTTACCCTAAGTCAACAAGTTTGTTTTCATCAACAGTTAGTTAAATCCAGCTAATTTTATGATAAAATTAGGGAGTGCTGCTAAAGGTTGCTAACGATAAAATTTTTATCGTTAGCAACTTCTAGCAGCACTACCTCGAGGTTCTTATTAACCTATAAGGGTAACTAATTAATTAAATCTATGTTATTTTGGTACTTGGTTAATGTTTAACTGAATTCTCAAAACGGGTAACGGGCAACGGGTACCCGTGCGGGTACGGGTAGTTGGGCTGCGGGTAGCGGGCCGGGTAACGGGTAGCATTTTCGCTACCCGCGGCAACCCTACTGTCAAGTCTATGCGATTTAGGCATTGTATAATAATTAATGCAAATTTACATTTTATGCAAGCAATTTTAAATGTGACATGAACATGTATAAACATATTACTAATCAGAATACAAGATTAATTCCCGTTTCGATCGCTTCGAATTTTTCAGGTCAGGAAAAATCAAAAACTGTAAAAAATGTGGGTCTCCATTTTAGCTGAAAAATTCATAGCGATCGTGATGTCAAACAAGATCGGATAGACTATTGGGGCTACGTGAAACCATTCAACATATCCGTTTGGTACGTCTTAATGACTTGCTGCATTTTACTAACGATCCTTGTGCTTGTTCAAAATTCTACGAAATACCTGCCAAAGACCTGGTACGAATTATGGTACGCGATCCTAAAGGCTGCCTTGGATGTTGGGCTGATTGTCGTTGAGAAGTCCAGTACCACGTTTAGTGTGATGTTTACCAGTCCAGCATCCTTAAAACTAATTACTCTCTGGACATTGGGGAGTTTTGTGGTAGTTAATATTTACAAAAGTATTGTAACCGAGGACACCACCACACCTCTGGTATCCAGCCCGCCAAAAACGTTTGATCAGTTAGTCACCGGCGGGTTTCATATGTACAGCAGCATTACCCCTACGTTCCAACATGGCTATAATACCATTCCTCAAACCATGACGAATTGGCGGATTGTTGGTAGCGAGTTCGATGCAGACACATATTTTCATTATTATAAATGGAGTATAACACCGCCGCTTACACCGCCGCTTAGTAAAGCCATGAATAACCTATTAGCATGTCATCTGTGCCCTGTGACTGTAACCTCAAATCTGCAAGTCAAGAATACTTTTTAGCCCGAGTCAGGGCTTATGTAATCATCATG